GCCAACCAATCAAGGAACTAGTCTTGATAATCCAACAGAAACAGTCCCTTGGTACCCTTAGATCTTTGAAGATTGTTAGCTTTGCTATCTTTTGTCTAATCTCAAAACAACCCCACTCCCTACACAAAATCATTGATAATTTCAGAAATCAGTGAAATATAATTTTAAACAAACTTTTCTCCCCCAAAACCTAACCAGTTACAAGTTAGAGTAGGCAATGATTAAAATGATTATTTAGGTAGAATTAAGGCATGATAATGGAAGAGAAAACACATCCTTATGAAAAACTTTTGTAAAACTGCATTAATACAACAATAACTACAGAAAACGTGATAGTCTCTTCAGAGCGAGCTTTGTCATACCCTGCAGGGAAACTATAAACATCTTCATTATAACATAGTGTTCCTTGCTGAGAAGAATCCTTTATAAAGGAAAAAGGAAACTTTTCAGAGGTCAACACTATTACACTCCTGTGGTGTTTATTTAACAGCTCAAATCACAGAGAAAATCAAAACTCAATCTACCTCCTCTAGTACAAACTGTTATGTTTCATTATTAAAAAGAAAATGGAGGCCTCCATAGCAAGAAATAAAAAAAATTAATAACAGAGTGACATCAAACCAATAAAAGGAATTCAGAGGTACCTGGTAAAGGTCAGCTGCTCTCAACTGTTTCATTTGTGTCTGCATATCAGTGTTGTATTGTGGCCCACTTAAAACAAACAATTAACAGATGCCATTTTATAACATATTCTACTGGGGAAATCTTCCATATGTACCTTTTGAAAAGGGTGATTATAATTTTCAATAAGAATATAAATGAGAGCATCTATAATAATCACGGGAAAAACAATTGCTGGGAAAATAATCAATCCACTAAGCCAGTTTTGTAGTAAAGTGGAGAAACTGAAAATAAACATAAAAAAGATCAATCATAAGTAATGATGAATGAAATATTATTAGGAATCGTCTTTAAAAAAATTAAACATATAAAGCCTAAGTTATCTACTATCGTATCTCAGGAAAAGCAGTTGACAGTTAAAGATTGTGATATGTGTTTTCTCTCAAATATACCAGGCCAGATTTTCGTAACTGCGCATACAAATATGATACAAAACTGCAGACTTAGGCCTTGCTTCTGAAAAGTTTGAAGCACATGAGTAATTTTATGCATGTGAGCAACCCAATTCCAGGTATTACTCATGTAAGTAAAATTCCTCACCTGCTTAACTCTTTTCAGATGCAGGTTCTAAAATGCATGAACAATAATTGAGTGAAGGCATGTACAAAACCCTAGGACAATATATAAAGGAGAAGTTTTTTTCCCCCCAGTGTGCATGTTTATATCATTATAACTTACACATAGTAAAAGCTTTTCATCTCACAAAAAATGTCTCAGTTTTAAGGTCAGTATCCCCAGATGCCTCAGGATAGAAGCAGATGCTGTGTCCTACTGTAAAGATGCTTTATCCTGGAATGTCACAAGAAACTGGATGTTCAAATCATAACATCATTTTATAGAAAAAAGGATTTTTGGTAATTTGTAGAAGTTGCAAAAAATGCATTTAGTTGTAATTTTTCTTTCTTTCTGAAGTTGCACAGTTTAGACATTTTGTACCATCAAGGCAGAGACACACAACAATACAGATGGGGCTACAGTGTGGAGAGTCGGAAACATTTTGCAATTGTTTTTCATGTCAATATTTGGCAGAGCCACCTATCCACTTGTGAGAAATGCTGCTTTAATAATCTCATCATTTATTGTGGGTGCAAATGATAACACTGAGCTATTGACCTGGTAGTTAGCTAGCTACCATTTGTGCCTACATCAAATGTGGGAGCAAGAATGGAGGCTGGATTTAAAAATCAGGCACCATATGTTGATACCGTCAATGCCATAATCTGTATGGATAATCCCAAAGACTGTAACTCACTGCAGAAGATTTTCACTTTGTTTACCTAAATGCTTAGAAGTCTGAGGGCTTCTAATTAGTGATAAATCAAATCACAACAACGATTCAAAAGAGGCTTGCAAATGTATAATTTATGACAAGTAAGGCGCAGAAAATATGTTTTAGACATGGTTTCTTAAATAAAGTATGTAAATAGGTCAGAGGAGGTTGGGTAGGGGAGAAATGCATTTGTTAGTAGGTTTTAGTACTGTGCTTGCTTGTATTTAACTCTCTGAAAGACTAGACAAAGAACAATTAAATATTCATACATTTACTCCTTACCCTCCTCTCTCAGCAAAACATTTTTAGCAACAAATATGGAGAACATTTCAGAGTCTGGATGACTGTCAATGAACAAAACAACAGAGCTGAAAGCCTGTTCTACATTCAGCAGAAACTGATCTGAACTAGTATCAGCCAAGGATATAATATTGTCATTACATTATCCTGGGTTTGTGCAATCTTACACAATGCACAGTAAACTAAAAAAACATCCTGTATTTAAAAATAAGCAATAGAAAGCAAACACATCTCCTTTCATTGCTGCATTACGAATAAAAACTCTCTGAAACAACAATAATCTACTTCATAAACAGTGCCATAAGAAAGAAAACAAAACCAGAATTTTTACAGCATATGCATATAATGCTGCTGACAACATTCTTGGCAAATTCAACCAATCATTTGACGCTTGAATTTGCTTCCATACTTTTTATCACCCAGCTGTGTAAATCCTTCATATCACAGATATTTCATAAAACTGCTAGCAAATATTTATTGAGCTAATGTAGTCAAGTAATTTGGGAATAGTGAGAAATGCTTCTATGCTACATAAGAAATAGCTGTTGTTTAGCAGTCACTTGTGAATGCAGGTTTTATTGAAAACATAGAGAAACTGATGAAATAATTAATCTCTTCTCCCTTTTAGTATTTAACAGCTCCAGCCAGTGATAAAAGTCCAGGTTCAGACCATTAGTTTTCTTCCACTGTACTCTAGACTGCTCACTCATTATGGGGAAAAACTAGAAGCTTCTCTAGTAGTAAGCACTGCTTTATAAAAGAAATAAATCACAGTATGACACCAAACCAATAGAAGAAACTAAGAAGTACCTTGAAAGGTCAACTGTGCTCAATTGTTTATTTGATGTCCACATATCACTGTTTTCCACTTAAGGAAAATAATTAGTAGATATTATTTTATAGCTTATTCTAAAGGACCAGCTTCTATATGTGCCTATTAAAATGAGTGATTATAATTTTCTGTAAGGCTTCAAATATAGCTATGCAAATGGATTGGGGGTAAAAAAATAATAATATAACACAACTGAACTGGGTTTTATTAGCATTGCAGAAAATAGAACAACTCCCTACTGTCTGACCAACCACAACGTATAGCAAATTAATTATAACACATAGGTTACCAGAAAATCATGTCTAATTAGAAAACATGCTGAAATAAGCATCTGCTGTAGCATACAAAACAAATATTGATCACAACTGTCAAATCTGTTACAATTTTTAACCACAGTGCTGTATGGTCTAACTTGGTATAATTACTTTTACGAAATACACCAAATACAGACCCCTCACTTATTTATTCCTGTGCTAGAGGGAAAGAAATGGTCACATAAAACTCCAGTCCAGATTTTCTTTCTGATGTTCTAGCTACTGTAGATGTGATTGTATCAAGGTTTGATGTTTAGCCAATTTTTCAGTTAAGAGCATTCTCTTCAAGATAATAAAAGCTGATAAAATGTCCATAAAATCTTGTAAAATGCCATTACAGAGGTCCCATAAATGTAAAATTGCTAGTATAGGTTTGGGATTTACACCCTGTGTTGTCCCTTTCACAGAAGCAAATGCACAAAACCACTGTAAATAACCTCTTGAAATCAGATAATATTCTGACAGCTCAGTTTCACTGACAAAAGGGACCTGGGCAGAAGCCAAGAGGCCCAGGTGCACTGTGTCATGCCAGTATTTAATGCAGTCTAATATCAGATGGATGCTAGTGAGAGAAAATACTCAGAATAAAGTCAGATAATAGCACGGACAACCACTCATTGCAAAATTACTTCTGCTCATCATGCTGTGAGCTTTGTATTAAATTTTTCTGTCAAGTGGTAGGAATCACAGGGAGAAGTGGCTCAAAACCCCCTTCTTGTAACCCTGGATAAGGATCTATAATATTAGGCTTTCATATGATAATGGCAAATGATGCCCCTCTTTGAAAAATTTCTGACTGGTAATGAAAGTCCTAATCAGATTGTTGTTGCTGAGAACCAGGAGGTGGGGAATGATGCCTCTGACACTCCTTCGTTCCCCTCCTCCTTTAGCAAATTTAGCAAACGTGACAAGATGGGTAAGTCTTCAAGAATTTATCTTACATGAATTTCCACAAAGCCCTTGAGTTGTTTATAAAAACTAGAAGGCGGTAGTTTAATAAAAGCTGGGCCACCTGAGGCATTTTCATTAAAGGCTTTCTCTAGACAACATCACAATGTTTGCATTCTCCTCCTATACTCCCCAGAGAATACAAGCATTACCTTTTCAGCAGGAGTCGATATTGTGTGTGAAGGCATGAGAGAAGATGATTACATTTTGCCTTTTGGTGCACAAAGTAACTAACAATACTCGCATTCGGATTAAAATTCAGCTATTTTGTTGGTTACCATCTGAATGCTAAATTGTTTCTGTGTGAAAAAACACACTTTGGAGGAGTTATTGTTCCATTATTTTAATGAAAATTTTAAACCCAGGCGCACATTATTTTCAGCTACTGTACCTATATGTGCTACCTTTTCTCTTAAATAAAGGCAGCAATTAGCCTATTAGGACACTAGAGAAAACAGGTGCAGTGGAGGCATCCATAAAGACTACCAAGTATGGAAATTTAAAATGATTAATTTGCTCAACATATTTAGCAATAGCAAACACAAATCACTGATTTTTTTAAAAAACATAATGTTATCTCTGAGGAAAACCTTTACACACTCAGCATACATCTAGAGCAGTTCATTGACACTTTCACCTGTTTCAATGGACCTACCATCTGTGTAGACTTCTCTGCGCAGATGTCCTGGCTGGTGTTTTTGCTTTTTGGCAGGTCGGACCTTTTGTATTACAACAGCACTCATGTTGCTGTCAGTAGACACAGGGCTGGTGGGTCTAGGGCAGTGCGATGCATGAAAATGTCTACGGCCTGAAAAAAATAATTACAGAACAACAGAATGTTGTTATTTTTCTCTCCAAAATAAGATATTATATTCCCTCTCTTTTTAAAACGAGACTCACGTGCAGCCATTCTAAAACTGAAGTTATTTAATTATAATATTACATTAATCTAAATCTTGTAATATCCTTATTGGTGATATGGTTTACAGCAATTGAAGAGAGACATTAATTTTCAAATCAACATACAGGCTGACTTAGTTTCCCAGAATGTATGGAACTGGTTTGTTTCTAGTAGGTCTCCCTGCAGGAATCTGAACTCTGTGACCAAGCAGGAACAGAATGCTTTATCAGCTCAATAGCTTGAAATGTCCATCAACAACAAAATGCATCACTTTCTCAGAGGGCTTCATTTCCTCTGGCATGGAAAATGCACAGGTTTACTCAAATGCAGCACGGTAGAACAATGAGAAGGACCTAGTTAAAAATGCATACCGCACTGCACTGCTTGACTCATTAAGAATAAAGTACTGTTTGTGAAGTACACCAAATTGTTCCTAGATCCAAAATATGACAAATCCCCACACCAGCCTGGAAGAGGTTAATAAGGCTGAGAAGGAATTTTGTGGCCTAATTCAGTGCTTCTCAAAGCTGGGCCGCCGCTTGTTCAGGGAAAGCCCCTGGCGGTCCAGGCTGGTTTGTTTACCTGCCGCGTCCACAGGTTCGGCCAATCGCAGCTTCCACTGGCTGCAGTTCGCCACTCCAGGCCAATGGGGGCTGCGGGAAGCGGCAGCCAGCATATCCCTCGGCCCGCGCCACTTCCTGCAGCCCCCATTGGCCTGGAGCGGCAAACTGCGGCCAGTGGGAGCTGCGATCAGCCAAACCTGCGGACGCGGCAGGTAAACAAACCGGCCTGGAAGAGAAGGCAGGGCACGTGGTAAGAGGTGGAAAGGAGGCGTCAGACCTGAAATCAGCTAATCCCCAAACCAACCAGGAGGTGACCCACCAGCAGTCCCTGTGATACCCTGATTTGCATTTCCTAATACTTTGTTTGTACATGAGCAGTGTCACATCTCTACTGTTTGTATTCAGGAAAATGCAAAAAACAAAACAAAACCCCCCAATTCATAATACTCTTTTGAATGTTGCTAAGTTTAATTTTTTTACATCAGTAGCATGTAAAAATATCCATTCCAAATAGTTATACAAAAGGATGAAATTGTGGCCCCATTTAAGTCAATGTGAGTTTTACCACTGACTGCAATGGGGCCAAGATTTCACTCAAAATAACTAAAAGACCTCCCCTTCTTTTTCTTCATGATGAACAGCCATGTTGAAACAAAGGAATGCTAAAAGTTTGAGTGGAAATTAGAAATAAGAAAGGAATCTTGCAGTCTGTAGAGTTGGTGAGGACAAAACTACAGTAATAGAATCCCAGTGTTCTAGCTCTAATGGCTATACAGGGTTGGCGAGATAGTCACAGATCTCTTTGAACTGTGGCAGACCCATTTATCAGCTGACACTAACCCCTTTGGTAAGCACGAAGCCTACTCAGATCACTGGTTATTCATATTCAATTAATCCTGGTAGCCAATAGTGCTTGTGCTCCAACATGAAATATTTATTACATATCGAGTGTTGACCAGCGGAAAAGCCAAGTGTAGTTTGTTTGTAATCTAAGAGAAGTTTCTGAAATAATAGGTTATAAATTATGATGCCAAGCCAAGGGCAGTTCATCTCAATTATGCTCCAAACAGAGACTGATGATATTCCTAGTATAGTAAATGGCAAATAATTATCTTAAAATGTGATTAAATGTATTCTTAAACTTATAAAACCTAGAAAATAAAGTGTTAAAGGTGAAACACTCTACTTTATCCATGTCTACTAGAATGTGAAAACTAAAACTCTCATATGAAGAGAACAAAAAAGATTGGGATCATGTACTTTACAGGGAGGACATGAAAAGTATACAAAATAATGCATTTTAGAGAAAGGGCCAACTGGAAACTTCTGTTCACCCTGTCTCATCATATAGGGAAAAAAAGCATTTAATTAAACTAAAAGGTAGCAAATTTTCAAAATCAGTAAGAGGAAATAACAGTTTTATATAACCTACAATTAGATTGTAAACCTCCTCACCACCAGGTGACATTGAGGCTAAAAGCTTAACAAGAATAAAAAAGAAACTGGATGTTTATATGGATAACAAGTTATAATAGCAGAATCATAATAGCAAATTCTAAACAAACAAGAGTTTTTGAAAGGGTCTAAACCACCATGCTTCAGGGAATAAACCAATTGTAAGAAATTTCTCTCAGGACATGTTATCCCAAACTGCCTGCTTCTTCTGGACTTCTTGTGCCTTCTCCTGAAGCATTTGGTATTGGCCACTGTAGGAGACAGGATACTGGACTAATGCAGTATGATAATTCCTGTGTCCTATACATATGATGTGCTAGGGGTGATTTTGCACAACAGAGAAATTTAAGACTGAGCTTTCTATGTTTGATTTCATTTCTAGGTACACACTATACCCTTATATCCTTATACTGTAACATTTAAAAACAAAGACAAAACTGTTCAACCATTTTTAAGTTTGCAAATGGCTCCCAAATGGAGTTCATGTAACTGCATGTATTTTCAGTTCAGAGCACACTAGCATGCCTGAGATATAATAGTCAAAGAATATGGATGTTGTTGTTTTAATTCTTGTTTTTTCTTCCCCTCTGACAGGCCATTGTCCACACGAGACTTTATCCTTATCACTGACCTGGCCCCCACTCCCTTCACCAAACTCTAAGGGCATGTCTACACACTCCTGTTTGAAGAGGACTACATTAATGCAAACTAGGAGCCTTTTAGTTCATGCCCGCAGCATCCACATGGGGAAGTTACAGTGCAGCTGTTTGGTGTTCACTGTTATTCACATACCCATATTCCAAACTGTGGAGCTGTATAGACACGACCTAAGAGAACAATAATAATTTCAGCTGCATTTGAATTTTAAATTAATTAGAGTTTTTTTTTCCCCATGATTTAGCACACAGGTTTCAGTTTTACAGCCACATCTCCGACAACTGATTTTATGTAAAACAACGTTTAGCAGCAATTAAATGTAATATAGTGAATTGGACTGTTTCATTTAAAGTCCTTCCCCACCCCGCAATCTGGAGATCTTAAGCAGAGTTAACTGCCTCCCATTTCACTTCAACAAAACATACACTACCTGCTGGAAGAGCCATAGCGTAGGAGATAATTACATAGGCATGCAAGTCAATTTTCTGAGCATGCTGAATTTGTACAAATTGGAACAGCAGACTGTGATTCATTGTTAAGTTATTTAAGAAATTCAGGGACAACCTTTGGATAAAAGACATGGCACGGTGGCAGTTTTTCTTTTTTAACCCCCAACCAAACACACTGTGCCTTTATATGACCTCACCTCCTGCTGCATCCTGCACTTGACGTCTTGCTACTTTAAGACCAGCATATTCTGCTGCTGCAGCAACAGCCTGTGCAAAATCTGCATCAGTAAAAAACGATCCATCAGAAGAGCTAACACTGGACCGTCCACTTGAGATGTTGTCTTCTTCTGAGGCTGAGCCCCAGCCATTAATCATGGACCCTGTTACAGAGCTTTCCAAATCCCCAACACTTGAGGCAGGTGTCTGCTCAAGGCCACGCAAAAGGAGCCTTCTGTTCTGCATCTTGGCAACCTCTATTTCTGCCTCATCCTCTTCCTCTTCTGGTGCATCAGTATCCATATCTGAGACAAGGGGTCCTGAAATGTAACCATAGGTGTGTGGTGGAGAAATAGGCCTTGGAGGGGGTGGAGGACTCACAGGCTGACGTCTGCATGTAAACACAATGTTAGAAATTGTTATTTCAGTTTCACAAAATAACCAGGCCAAAACAAAATATCCTGGTAGAATCAGTGGAATATTTCTCTTACATGCCAACCAATTTGTTTTGTCATTTAAAATTCCCAGGATTTAGATTTGAAAGTAGCAGGATTTTACTTTTTTGCTGTAATCAGAGATGACTGACAGCTACGAAACCAGAAATCAACCAAAAAAAGAAACTGGCCTTCTCTTATGGTACTTTTTGCTCCCAGTCTAATAAAATTGTGCTCGTTTATGTATAAATCTCCTTATGTTTAATAATTTAGGTCTTGTTCAGTTAGGAAAGGGAAGCTGACAGTTTAGGACACAGCTTAAAAAATTACATTAGGAAGTGCACACCTGTGAATGTGAGCAAAAGGTGTGATTGTATATTACTTTTGAAGCTTGCTATTACCAGGGACAATAGGCATCTACAACCAAGCAGATTGCTCCATAAACTATCCTTCTCGGCACTTTTTCCCCACTTATTCCAAACATAGGATTGAAACTGGTCTGGAAGGTAATATTAAAGAGAGAATTATTCAATATCATTTATATCTAACTTTTGGGAGCAGCCAAATATATCTATATTATTCTTGTTCCTAAATAATCAGTAACGGAGCTGCTAGATTCAAAAGTTAAAGGACTTTATCTGGGCATCATGGGATCAATGTTCGGTTCATTTAATATTTTGATCTGCAGAACATTTATCTTAATGTTGCTGATCTTGTCATCAGTTTATCCCCAGTGCTTTTTAGTTGTCATTTACCCAAAAGGAAGATATGCTTAGGGAGGGAATGACCGGACTTTTGGCTTCTTTTGTCACTAAGGATATCTGCTGTTTGCTCTTGACCAGAATCTGGCTTGCAAGATTTCCCAATGTTTTCTATTTCTCATGGTTTCCAACCCATCAAATTTTGCTTTATCATCACTTCAGCAAAATGGCTATCTTTGCAAACTTGAAAAATGTTAATTTTCATATTTTTGGCTAGATGAGTTTTGCCCACCCGCTCTTGGAAATGGGCCAGGTTTTGCTTTTAAATAATTATGTATCTACAAAAATGTTTCCTTTTTTGTTTTAAAAAAACAAGTTCTCATCTTTCACAACAAAATGCAGAACTGAATAATCTACCATTTCCTTTAAAATATTTTACATACACTTCTACTTGTTGCCTTAACTATGGAAGGCAATGGAAGCAGTGACAATTAGAGATATTTTAACCAAATAATCATTTAATAGAAATAACAAAGGTCATAGCTGAGTGAAAAGCTTTATTCGCCTTTGTATAGCGTCTCATCTTGGCTAAATTATATTGGTTTAATGTGGGGTCCTGGCAAGATGTGTTCTTGTAGTATATTTGTCTACCAGTCTTCCTGTTATCTGGGTTTTGTTACCAAGACACGGGCAACTGTTTACAAACATAGAGAGGGTTCCTTGAAAATCAGCTTGCTCACTAGCCCATAAAGGTAGGATAACTGAGAACATGGGCATATTCATGGACATATAGCAGCATTTCTTCCACTTTATCCAGCACTATCCTAGATTACAGTGACTCTGGCTTTAACATTCACAATGTCTCCTATCTCACTGTGCTTGTCCATTCTTCCAGAGCAGAGCTTTCTATTTCAATCTGCTGTAACTGTGGCAAGCTGACCGGACAGACAACATTACTGCACACAATCATCATCACAGAGAGAAATGTTCCAGCTGTCTGGTTCCTGGCGCCCACAACACACAGCATGGCTATAGAATCATTACAAAAAGTATTAAAGACTGGAGAGGAGGGAAGCGGGGAGAACAGGAGATGGCCCTGTCTGTTAAGTAATCTTTTCCAAATAGATTGGAATTCAGAGACTAAACCTACACCAACCTTATAGATACATTTCAGATGATAGTATTTTAGATATAATCTTCACTACAAAGCTACATGCTCAACTTATTTCTCTGTCAGATACTTTTATTATTTGCAATGATGAATATTTTCAGTTAATCAAAAAATCTTAGTACTTAATACAGAAGCATATGTATGATAAATGAAGGGGGAAGGGTAGCTCCCTTTTATGGACACCCAGCCAGTGAATAGCTATAAAATCCCTCTTAGTAGCTGTTCTCTAATTCCCAAGTGCACCTTCCTGGGCTCTCAAAGGGGTTCTGCACTTGGGTGGTGGCCGCATCTACCAATCCAAGGTCAGAGAAAAGCTGTAA